TAAACAGTACCTAACGTGGGAAATATTGTGTACCATAAATCCAATAACAGGGCGAGAATAGCTGTAAACAAAGTGTGAAGTTCGGTTTGAATATCATATCAGAAGTTAAGTGAAATCTGTGCGTCTTTCTACTGGAAATAGAGAGCTACCAATTTGTTCATGCATAGCTAGCTAGGTTTATGAAGCATATCAACTGGAAAGTGCCATCGTTCTACCACAATAACAACTTACTGCTGGAACAGGCTGATAGCATTGTAACTGCATGATGGCAGGTTAAATAGAGTAGTCGCAACGATGTAACTATTCTACTATGTAACTCTTAGAAATTAAGCAAAGCAAGCAAGCAGGGTCAGTCCTGGCAAGCAAGCAAGCAGTCAGGATGGCCGATGAGTACTGCAGAATCCACAAGGATTCAGAAAAGGAGACTGTCGATCTGCACTTTTAATTTAGCTATGGTGTGAGGTAGGGTAAGCGTTCGGCAAATTGAATTCGTTCATACTAAAATAACTTGCGGTTAAATGACAAATTTTAGTGCTAGGCAAGCTATAATTTCGTCGGAAAAATGCTTCGGAAAATATGCTGTGGGTCGACGAGGCTAACCATGCTTATCCGGGTATTGTTAAGAAAAATTGTGTTGCGGCGATAACTGTCTCTAATTTGTGATGCAACCTAAAGCGTATAAGGTTTTCGATCCTTTCTTATATAATACTTTACGTTAGGTAGGGTATATAATTATATGAATTAGGTGCAACAACATGCTGATGACATATCAGCAAAGCGGCTGCAGGATTGTTACCACATTTCAATGCGATAACAGGATATGACGCCATGTGAATAGGATTGATTGAAATAGGCAGACGTGGCGCAGACGCGCACCAACGTATGAAAATCACAGTCACGTTCCAATGAGACGCTGAGAATAACTGTAGAGAGGCACGCGGTCTAGATTAGATCCTGTGATTTTCTGCGCTGGTTTGCTCTGCTTTCCCTAAATAGTTTTTTCATCTTTTAGTGAATCCTTCTTTATTAAAGGCGCTCTATGTTTTTGTACAAAGAGCGAGGAACCTTTCTAAAGGATGCATTTAGAATGCGTTTTTTAGAGCAGTTCCTAAAACCATACCTATTCATATATAAGCTATCCCTTCGCATCTACCTGATTTTGCATTACTAGTAGTGTCGTGTTGCGCTTACCTGATGATGGATTACATTATTTCTGATTTTACATACTTGCAGAATCTATGGATTAGCCATTTGTCAACAATAAATAAAATGTTAAATAAGTGATAAATGAAAAAGCGTACGTCATTTAATGAGGTACATTTGGAACATTAGACTGATGTCATATTAGGCCATACATTATTGGTGAATAATTCAACAGGTTTTAAGTATATAGATTTTTACCTACCTGTGAACTTTTTGGACCAATCGATGCTTATTCTACGCATCGATCGACTTATTGAAACTTCCGCCGCTTCTGCTGTTAAAACCCTATGTGTGTTCTTTTTTTAGCTTGTTTGATGAACCCAAATGACTTCCGACCGATTGTTTTGCTCAGTTAAAGGTTTTCACTTGGCAAGATCTGGGCATGAAACGAAGCTGCGGTTGGATGAACGCTGTTTTCCCTGACCAGTTTGTTTCTATATAGGAGAATATTAATTTGTTCTTGACTCGACGGGAGCGACCTTTTCATACTTCACATTTAAAAACAACGTTGCACTACCGACAAAGTCGGCCATTAGCGTGATTTACGTTGATATGTTAAATTTGTAAGCAAAAACTGTACTGTATGAATAAGATTGTTCAAGTATGAAAAACAATTATGAAATTGTTTAAGTCTTCCCAAACCAAATACGTTACAACTGCGATTATCTTGGATTTCGTGCACCCTTCTTTATGGCTTACGAATGAAAAATTGCTTTCTGATAGCTTCTCAACAGCTGTGTACTTGCGAGTTGCTTTGCCATACCTAATATCGAACTTGATGGTTTATATGAAAAAAATAGGAAGATGCTATTGTGCCCTTTTCAAGGCATGAAAGTTATCAAATTTATTGGATCTCAATATGGAGCGTGTAGAAGTTAAAAACATTGCTTTATTGTGATTGAAGTGTGACAGTTAGATTGTGCGTGGTCTTCAATCTACTACATTGTGATTGTGGTATTGTTGCATATACTGTCGATTGCTGCGCCACACATTCGTGAGGCTCAGCAGAAGCTCAGATATTTGGCCACATCGTCTTTTTCAGACAATATCTCGTAATAAATAAACCGTCTGATATCCATTACGCCAGCGAGGACAGGCCTACATCCGAATCTATATACCACCGAAGACGATTTCGCTTGTTCGATTCACCTCTGTTGGACTTCACAAATTTGTTTCGTGTATGCAATACTATGATGCCCAAGGCGGGTCTTTCTGCTGTCTGTAATAGCTATGTGGATTGACGCGAGTACACCCACATGTCTGTCCATCTGTCTTGGACTTAATTTGTAGAAACTAATTTTTTGTTTATTTCTTTAATCCTGTTTTAATTCCACAGTACGTGCCTTAGGAAATTTTATAGTAGGTTAACAGACAGCACACCTTATATGCTAAAAAGTTTGGTGAACACAGTGACTCGTTCTTCCGCTTGAGGCGTCACGGTGTGGTGATCTCTTCTATGGTTTATTCCCTCCCATTCCCGTTTTTAAAACGACTATGCTGAACTATATTTTTTTGCTGAAGGTTTCCACGCCATTTTCAAAATAAGGCTCAATCGCTGAGCGATCTTTAACAGTTAGCTTCATTCGCTCAATTAGCATTATCTCTGCTTCTAAACACAATTATCTTTGTAAGTAGCCAAAACAGAAAAAATTTAATCAATATTTTTATCAATACAAATTAACGATATCGACAGTCTATCGTTAAAGTTCGATCGAGCCGAGCTATGAATAAAAAAGTTTAGACATTGCATTCATTATTATACATATAGACCAAAAGCTGTTTAGAATATCTTCGTTCTTTAAACCCACAGATTAATATTTTTATTAAGCTATCAGTATTTAATAGTAATAATAATTTTAATATATTATTTAATATAAGATTATTATTATTATTATTAAGCTCGAGTAGCTATATCCATCCCTACTATTAGTATATGAGTTCACATAATAAAATCCAAACTCCAAGAGTTAACTCATAGCCAGTTTACCTTATATAGCAAATTACCAAAAGAATTATTAGTAATAATTCAAAATAAATGTTGGTTTAAAACTTGATCCCTTCTTTTTTAGGTCAAAAAATAAATTTATCCATTATTATTATTATTAGCTTGAAAAAATGTAAAATAGAAGGCTTGCGCATCAAATTTGTGGTTCGGATTAACAGGCCTGGATTTCACTATTTCTATATCTCAATCTGATATTGTATTTCATTGTTGTATGGGCACTTTGTGGATTATAAACCGCAAGCCGTGCGCTATTTACTTCATTTTTGGCACACGCTATTTATGTTTAGCACGTGGAACATTTGATTTCGTCTCTTGGCAATTGATTCCATATAATCGCGATTGTAGCATCGCTACACAGCTGCAGAATCCAGCCTAAATCAGTTCAGTATCCTTAAACACGACTGCAGGAATAATGTATACTGTAACAAGTGCCACGGTCCCCGTTTAAGGACAAATAGTAGTGTGACTAGTGGAACTAGATTCCTTGTAGAAGAAAACTTCGGTTTCACGTTTGTACCGTCTCTTACTCGCATGTAGTATGAGTCAAGTACGGTGCCATGATGCTAATCAGGAAATTTTACGCAATGTCCTTGACCCCTTTTAACTAATAATTATGGGTAGTAAGGACACTCCTTGAGAAGCACCTCATCAATAATCGGTTCCGCAGGGAGACCGATTACTTCAAGTAATAACACAAAAACACATTCTCTTCACATGTTTTAAAATTTACAACGCTTTTGCGGCTTAATTAGGCTTTGTGTAGACTAAGTGGAGCCCTACGGAAGGTATGCAGTCGATTTAATGATATTCCAGGCTAAACTAAAAACAGTGTTAGGTATAAAAAATCATCTGAAGCTGCTAATTCAAATCAGGACCCATAAATGATCGTTGTCTTGTAATAGGAACCGAATTGAGAGGCATAGTTTGTTAGAAGCGAATCTGTCCTTAGAGAGTACCCGTATTTCCGCCGTTTTAAATTTTTCGCTTATGTAAGAGTGCTATAGTAATTATTACTGAGGCCTGCATCAACACGCACAAAAAGGAAACGTTGTTGTATCTGAAAACAGCCTTAGTTTATATGTTTCAAGCTTACCCATATATATATATATATATATATATATATATATATACCATATATTCCATGACCCAATAAATGCATGTAAGAAATAGAAAGCTGTTGTAAAGTAACTTCAATAATAACTGCCCTTATGACAGATAAAGCCGGATAAAGGAACATATTGACAGGTCTATCAGAAAACGCCTATAGGTCTAGCATGTTCGTAGATGTCTCAATTTTTACTTGTTTGTTTGATATATGTATCGTAATCTAATTTGCTAGTAGGCTAGACACAGAAATATCATAGGTCACTATTTGACCTTGAATGAATATAATGCATTTAAAGAAAATGATTAGCTACTTCGTAAATAACTTCGGAATAATACAAACCTTTTGTACATCATTGGCTTCATAAAGCTCACCGTTATCTGTATTATATTTAGTTGTCATCACATAAATAGAAGTAGCAGACACAGATGCTGTCTGTCTCCAATAACTAACGTAGTAGTGAGTGACCGAATTGGTGAATAAGCTTTTATGTGCCCGTGTGAACCTCGGCTGTCAAATGAATTTCGAAGGAAGTCCATTGATCTCGACGCTACAAATGATCTCGGTGTCTTGGGAACGACGACGCAAGCGACGTCCTGAGCACTCGCTTAGTTATAAATGCATAAGTAACGCATCCATATATTCCTATGCCTTCAAAATGTGACTAAACAATATAATTGTAAAGAATAACAATGTTATTATCATTTATTGGGGTAATTTTTAGCATTTGAGTAAATTATGAAGCCTGCAATTCCAAACCATTAACTGTTACTCGGCCGCGCACGAAACACTTGTTTAACTTTATTTTTTCTAATTTGCGTTGTACTAATTTTTGTGTAAAATTCATTTAGCATGGCCAATCCCGGACTGCTAAAACAATATTTCTATAATAATAATTCTAGCTTTTCAATCTTCGGTTTTCTTTGGTTTTCATTTAAAAAAATAACAAAGAGGGGATAAGATGTATCTTTATGAGACGAATATCTCAACGAATCTTAAGGCTCATGTAGAATGGCTGAAGTTTCAAGCTTCAACGCCCCGAAACTGTATGAAACTGAAGACACTATACCCGTATATCTGGGGTAGGTTTACAGCTCGAAGTGGCTGTGGCGTCTCCACCTTTAAAACTGCGATATCTTTACCGGGTAAGGCTTACATTTGTAAAAATAACAGATGATCTTCAAGGCTTTCTCTCATAGTGCATATATAAGATGATAAATAAAAAAGATGATGTTAAAGCGTGAAAAAGCTTGAAGAAGCATAATTGAAAGCAGAAAAGTTTAAAGCGTGGAACACACGTCAAATCTGTTGAAAGAACTTTGCCAGTACTGTGATTCCATACCGGTAAACATGCAACAATAATTGAAGTCAGAACCGACTAGTAATATACAAAAACATATAGCGATATCGTTCTCAACCAATTGCGATTCAATGGCAGTTGTGACAATGAGGCGCACACCTTTGGCCATTGACCCAGCAGCGACATCCGCCACCAACCCAGTCGCCTTTGCCTCCAGGGCCCCAGCGCAAACCCTTGGTGGCCCAACAGAGCTCAGTACGACAGACTGTGCATAGGATTCCATCGCAGCCATCAGTTTTCTCAACGATTGCATTGCACTTCGGGCAGATCATTGCAAAACCGTCCTTCAGTCGTTGCTGAAATGAAATACAACAAATCGTACAAAGCAAGTACTGAAGCTTAGTGAACTATTAAAGAGTATTTGAAGACTTCATTTGAATTGGACTCTATACCTCATGAATTTTCGATGTAGTGATAAAGTCGAAAATATCTGTAAGAGTAAAATACAAAGAGGTAGCGCCTTCTTATTATATAATTAATAACAAACGCGTCAGATGGCAGACGCCGACAATAGTAAAGCAAAACGTAACACATTTAATATTCCTATCAGATCCTACCAGCCACAATTAATACGCAAACGAATCGACTTCATTCTAACTTAAAGTCGTATTTGCTTGTTGGGTGCTTCTTTAATTTAATTTGTGCGTAAATAATAAATCAATTGCATTGAATTTAGGATGAGCATATCTTCACTTACTAAGTTAGGTATAGTTTTGACTGAACCTATCCAGCATTAGTTGACCTCAAGGTTTCTTCCTCGCTTACTGTGACATGAATAAGCCTTTAACTGTAGCGTTTCAATAATTTATTTCGAAGTTGAATTTATTTCAGTCTTTTATTGATTCGCGTGACGGCGTGCACTACCCTTCCGTTGCGAAGCGTAGTGCATTAAGTAATGTCACTAAGATAATGAACATCTAATGGTAAAAGCAAAGTGGCTGCCCAACGATATTGGCTTGATCGATAAAAAATAAGAAAATTTCAAACTCGATTTAAAGGTAATCATTAAGAATAGCTTCTTTGAAAGTTTACTAGAAACCGTGTAGAGTAGAGGGTTTCAAAGGAATCCTTTAGCAGTTTTTTTAATAAAAAATTAGCAGTTTCATCAACGGCGTTACTAGTAATATTAAAAAAATTTTAATTCGAATTCTACATCGATTAAGTTTGCACTAATCATGTCCTCGAATTTAGATATTGGATTATTATTTATTAGATAAAATAGGTATCCACTTTGTGCTCCACAGCTTTGAAACCTATATCCATCTTTATGAAACGAATCTATGAGAGAAGGATGTAGCGGTGAGCTACAAGTGGATCTTACAAGCAGTCACTTCCTTAGGAAATTTATTCCATAAATGCTTGGAGAACGCACCGTAAAATTATGAGAAAAAGGGTAGGACGAAGTCTTATTTTTTAAAATGTTTCGAAACAAATGTATTAATTTGTCAGCATACATAATTTTTACATGATTCTAGAATTGAATGAACACTAAATGAACGAACTACTTAGGTACTGAAAACCTCTGAAAGCCATCTTTTTAGTATCCTAACTCTTAATTTCTTTCTTCCATGATCGATACTACCGCGATCCAACGCCATCATATTATTTCAGGGAAACCTAACCTAAGAAATTCAAACATACCTCGATAAAAAATAAATTCGTTGTCAATTCTCTCATGTTTTGATTCTTTAGTTAGCTTATTTCGATTATCACTAATACGCCGCAGTCATCTCGTAACTTTGTTGAAATTGTCACAATTATTTATTTTGTTCCAGTTATCCTGTCACTTGACCATTGTTGACCCGTTACCCCCTCCCCGTTACCCCACAGCGAAAGTGAACTAAACAAAAAGACGGTAATGATTAAGCTATTCCTGGATCAACCCGTACTAGCTTTAAAGTACAGGGTAGCAATAACTATCAACTTTAAAAAAAATATCGTATTAGCCACGTGGGGAAACGCATTGTTTAGTCAGAAATCTGGCATAAATTTATTAATTATATTACTCTGTACGCATAACAGTTAAGAGAACGATAAATGAAAAATGGGACAGCTACTATATGACGGTGCATAGGGCAAACTTTAAAATTAGTGAATACTGAAGTAAGTGATATGTAAAAACCTAGTGGTTGGTAATCAGCGATTGGAAACATTTTATATAACTTTAATATAAATGGAAAACATTGTTTGTAAGCATTAGGATACAGTAGTCAAGTGCTACGATCCACAAAACAACTCGTAAAACACAGTGTAACAGTACTTACTTCAAGGTATGCCTTTGATTCGTTTTCAGACACCTCGTTCTGTCTCCTAATGGCGAGGTCCGCTTGATATGCTTCGCATGTTTGTTCTTCCTCATGAATAACTTTGCATTTTGAGCAATTAACTTTATTACACACTTCACATAAAAAGCGACCATTACCTTCAGATGATATAAACCACGCTCCGTTACAGTTCGGAGTCATGCACCGCATTGCTAGGGTAAGGGCCCGTTGAAGACCCTTCTTTAAGAAGGCCTGATAATTTTCGGGGGTGGTCAACAACTGCACTTCGCGATCTTGAAGCTGTGCGTCACAGTCTTCGGCTGGACAGTTGACTAATGGCGAGTCCGAGTTGTTGATTGCGCCACGAAGACACTCCCTATGTATGGGCATAACACGAGATCGTGAACGACTACTGGTATTCTACGTAGGAATAACATGTGCCAATATTCTTTATAGTATCAAGGAAAGTGAACAACCTTGTACACCTTTAATGGTTCCAGCTTTTGTATACCATTCTTAAAATAAACTGACTTAGATCCACCTAAAATAAGTAAGCGTAACCTTCTACCACGTGTTGCAATACAACAATAAATGCTATTGCGAAATGCTTATATATGTACTTACCTGCATATTTTGTGTTCTCCGCAGTTCTTCGGAATAACCCCTTCTAACGCAGGAATCTTTTCTAGGCACACGGGGCATTCGAAAGCCTCAAGGTTCGGCAAAATGTCGTGATCGAGTAGAAATACTTGCAAGTTTGATGTATCTAAGGAAAGCGAGAGCAAAAGATCTTATTTTTATCATATTGCTTCTGTTGTACCGTTTCTCTTTTTAATAAGTTAAATTGCTGTTGACAAAATTGTTGAGTTAATTCGGGATATAACGGCAGAAAGGGTTGAGAAAGGCCGCCCACTAAACATACCTCGTGAGAACCGAGAGAATAAAGGTTTTTTTTCGGGTATAGAATATCAGCTATCACTGAAACCCGCCCAACAACAGGTTTATAGCAGGTGAAAACCTACAACTCTATCAAGGAAAACAAACATGTGTATAAATGAATTGAACCATATTAACTCACTGTTTTCAGCGTCGATTCTGAAAGGTTTTTTTCTATAACTCTCTTTTTCCATCTCGTCAGAAAGCAGCTCAAAAATTTCAAGCTCCGTTACACTTGCCATGCATTCTGCATACTGCGGGCAGGTGACTTCTTTGACCGGAGAGTTGAGAATACGCGTTCTTAGACACTCTCTAAAAAACAATGTGTCGGCGATTACCAACTAACTTTGATGAGTTTGCGATATTGCGGCGACTGGTCAGAACTAGTGGTTGGGTACAGATAAAAACATACAACGTAGTAATATTCTAGTATTATCTCTGGGGTTGAGCTAACATATATAGCGACGAAGCTAAGTTTTCTTGTTAAGCTAAAGATATTATTAAAATCACGGCGAGGTCAACTTTACAAGGCCTAACTTCATGAGAATCTGCTCATTTGTATATTTTACTAATTTAAGTAATTGCACTAAGCATAACCAATATTAGAAATTTCTTAAAGGCGGGTTTATTTTAAAGCTTACCGACAGGTTTTATGCACTTGACAATTTTTGAGAACAACCCCCTCGAATGTATCGACTAAGACGCTGCAGTTAGGACACGCGAATGGCGTGAAAGTTGGCCACAGGTCATTTTCGTACAGCTGAAGTGTCTCGATGTAGTTTTGCTCAGTAAGAAACGGTTCACCTTCTACGAATCGCCTACCAGACTTATAGTCCCCAGATAATGGTCCCGCTGTTCCTAACAGTGAAGCATCCGTTGAAACGGAAGCAGTGGTGGATGAAGTACTTGTGGGGGTTTTCACTACTTTAGGCTTCACCGACTGACTCTCTTGAACAGAGGCTGGTGCGTCCGACGCAACGTCCGACTGTGAATTAAGGGATCCCGTGTCTTGTGCATGTTTTTGGGTCATGTTTGAAGACTGCTTATTGTGAATGTTTACTGTGCCGATCTGTTCATTCGCTATCGTTTCTGTTACATCCCTAGTTAAAGACCCGGTTGAAGAAAGCGATAAGGAACTGAATGCATCTGCGATGAGCTCTGGTATTGGCTTCTGATCCTGACTAGAGGCGCTTGCTGCCATTGTAGACTTTTGCTTCAAAGAGTTGGCTATTACTAAAATTTCCATAAGTTGATCCTGAAAAACCATAATAATAGATGTTCTGTGTATATAGTTATGGTATAACTGAGTAATTAAGCAATGATTAGTTTCGCAATAGCTGCTAGAAAAAATGTCGTGAGCATACCGCTAGACGCAGTTTGCATAAGGGTTACTATCTGCAACGACAACATCTTTTGAGCCTGCCAAAAAAGCTATGCGATGTAGATTGGAACATTCATAGTCTATAACACACGCATTACATATCAATGAAAAGTGTTGTTTTTTAAACAGTTATTTAAGAAATTTAAACAGACAAGAATGGCATGCTTTGTCTTTTATTTCTTTAGCTATCCTTGCGCCCAGCGTTCTTAGCATTTAGTCAAGAAAAGATAGTTTCCTGTATAGGATGGTGCGGGTGAATGCCATTTCTCCACTAGCTTTCAGTTTTCTTCCGCATAATATGTTGCATCTTTAGAAGTCCGATTCTCCTATCTTGGAAATGATATCCACAAAAATCGTAAGGCCTTTTTTAGAATATGTGCAGCTTATACGGGTTCGAGTTATGCTACAGACTGTCATTAAATCTCTCTATATATGAGCTTGAGCTGTGGTGCTGAGGAAAGTAGGAAATCATTGAAGAATTCGAAGAACAGTTGCCAGGAGTTGTTATACGGGACTGATCTCCTGGACACCGCAATTTTGCCAAAAATGCTAGACGATATGCATTTTGCGTATTCAACTGGTCTTACAGACTTAGACACAGGCAAATCTGGCGGCGAGATTGGGCCACATGAACATCTGGGAAGCCGCGGACGTTACCTATCATCGTGGTTGATTTAATACAATTTAAAGAAGTGTAACTTGGGTACATCGAAGAAGTAGCTATGAAGTGAAATGAGCGTCCAATAGCTTGTCTGTAAAATGATGAGTTTGCCAAACAGATGGGATGGGACAAGATCGCTAGAACGACTGCCCACGAAATCTTTTGTCCGAACTGCTAGTTAAGCGTTAACGTTTTTCGTCTAAACGACATTTCAACTAATTACTAATACAGCATTTCAACTGACGTGTAGTTGGGCGTCTTTTTTCCGATTTTATAGCCACTTGCCTTTTGTACGACCACCTGAACACAGCGGCTGATTCCACTGATGCTTTCTAAACGAAGTCTCTCGGTGCGATAGTATTATAGACGAGCTGACATTTTCAGGTGAGTTATAGCGCACTTGCTGATTTGGTGCAAGGCATGAGGCGATTAATCATACCTCAGGTCGCGATATCATCATACAGGCTGGCTTTCGACCTTCAGCAATCCTAGAGCTTAATGGGCTACAGAGGAATGAACCACGAATACATAATCTATGCATTTTGGGCTGAAATAATTTGGGAGTTGGAGCAAAGATGCTGTCTAACCCAGTAACCTTTTGTACGGCAGATTTCCACTCTGCAGCTTTCCTTAACCAAGAATCTTACCAAAACTCCAGCGAAGAAATATTAAAAGTAATGCTGACAACTACGCCAATAATATGGTAAGTGTTTATGATAACAGTAGCAAGTTATATCTTTGTATTTGATATTTGTAATTAAACTACCTTTAGATGATACTATTTATATAAAACTGTACTTACTGGGCTAGCCTCGATGGTGATGTTTCCATTGGGGTCAATTGTCATTGACGCCAGGTGATTTCTGCCGCTACTTTGTGGCGGAGTCCGGAACAGCGTTTCTTCTTCCGACCCATTTTCTGACCCGCTCGACTCATTTGTGGCGTCACTCATGGTTTGATGTTCTGAGCTTTCAAGTTTTAAACTGGTACTGCTGTCTACAGAAAATAGTTTCCGTTTCTCCTCCTTATTTTTGCTCCAATTTTCATCCAGATTTGCGACCGATTGACGCTTAGCTTCTTGTGCCTGTCGGCAGTTGATAACTTTACGCAAATGAAAACACGTTTCCGTCACCCGACCCTGGGATTCGCACATACTAAGCAGAAGTAAAAATATATGTATAGTGAAGCAACATGCATTACGTATCGAATAATTTAGTTCATACGCATTTATCAGTAGCTAAAAGACTTCTGGCCCACACTATTGCTGTAATGTACACTGGAGCGTAGATTCTGTTTATCGAATAAAAAATCTTCCCTGACAAAGACGGTGATCTTGAAGTTAAGCTTTGGATGTTTTTTGATTGATACGATAAAATAACATACCAAAACTGTACGTATTTGAGCAGGTCAACGCGTGCCCAAGGGATTCCAATACATACCCGCATGCGGCTTGTTGCGCTGTCGTACAAATTCTCCAGGAATGACCGAATGCATCACATCGTGGACACCTGCCGCCGGAGTCTATCTGCATTCGTTCAAAACAGCGATCATAAGAATGAGCCGTAGAGTTACAAAACTTGCACTGGGTCATTGTTTTATGTCGAGGCACACAGCTGCTCCTCTTCTAGCCGATTAAGTCAAAATCTGCTGATAAAACAAATATATATAATAAAAAGCAATGTTAAGCAAAAATGATATAGTGCGATACCATACGTTTTATGTTTATATTAACCAACTCACATTAGTAAAACAAAACATTTTAAAAAGTGCATAACAATTAATTACTACTCTTATTTACTATCTATCTACTAACTAATATTAAATACCGAACTAAGAGGAACTCCTACAATTGTTACAATCATAAAAGTACGCAAAACAAATTGCCGTATTTTCAGTTGAAATACCAAATTGACGGTCATAAACCCAGATAATGCCTTGGAACACTACCAGTTGTCGCTAAGTTTAGATAAAATAACCAAAGCTAGTACGAACCCAGTAAGCGTAATCAAAAGAAATATATTTGGCCGTTACCGGTCAATTACTAGTTACCTTAAATTTACATCCCTGAGCAGATCTTAATATCATTCAGAGAAACAACTTTTCAAAATCTCACACAACGATATTAAAGGTAAATCGTGAAAATTGGTCATAAAAAATTCTACTGTTAGAATATATTAGAGAGATACTGCGTCCAGTATAAAATCGCAGTAGCTTCAAGATTAAGGAATTCAATTTGCCTTTCGTTTACTCACACCAGAACAACAAATTGGCAACCGTCTTATTTACTAGAACATTCTCTAGCTTTTTGCTCTTCTCGGCCTTCCTGAGGGGAGCAATCTCAATGTTTCCTGGCCGAAAAAGCTTCCTAGCCGTGTTCTACACTTGACAATCACCAAATGAAAAAATAAAAACGGAAAGAAAGAATAAATAAAGACGAACGTTCCCCATGCAGCAAATCGTATATACATTTCCTCAAAGACTAAAATTCGCCACTTATAGACAAGCAAAAGGCCATCACTGGCATAAAAGAGAAAGTAATTTCCATGAAGTATATCAAACCTCACGACTCACACTTTATGTATATATTAATTAATGACTTAAAACAAAACCTCTAATCTAGAAACTCCCAGGTCCTTTTCAAGATTCATAATAATAATTCAAGATTCATAGATAATACGGAACCCAAAATAATTAATAACATGTCACGTAAATAAGCTTTTTTTATCACATCCTTCTATATCACATAGGAAAAATTTATATCAAACAAGAAGTGCCTGTTTGCATACAAGTAAGGCCACGTGAAAATACAACAATATGTATATATATATATATATATATATATATATATATATATATATATATATATATACATATACATATATATATGTATGTTCTCAGGTGTCCATTATTTAAATAAAAGCAGCGGCAAATGCGCGGCTGGCTACAGCAACTATTGTGAAACCCACAGGTATTTATCGCAGCCTATGTAACAGCTCAGAGCTTTTCTGTCTGTATATAGACCAATGTTCTACATTATAAATTTAATTTACGATATGGATGCCAGTCTAAGAGCGTTTCATAAAAGTGGCGCACGAAAGGAAAAAGGTACGATCATATAGCGATAATACATCCATTTAATACCTAATGCTCAGAGATAATCTGGAACAAATAAATCAAGCAGTTGTCAACAATAGCTCTACAAAGAAGCGAAAAAGTTGCAACGTTACCTGACTATCGGCAGGAAATGAACATTAGTCACCGTTTACTGATCGTGCGACTTACAGCCACCGGAAAAGCTTTTCGTGCGGACTGTAAATTGATTTCGAAGTAACGCGTTCTAAACAGTTCGGTATGTGTGCAAAACAGAGATACAGAGAGTCTCGTTTAGCCACTTTTAGCGGAACCAGCATCCGTGGAAAGGGTAAATAGATCGGTTCGGTACGCTTGCTGCTAACCTCTAATAATGTCGTCTTATGTTGAAAGATGATATCCGGCTGTTGGTGAGAGAGCACTAAGAGCCAGAAGGCTGTTAGAACTAGCTGTAGTCATTCTGAAAATACGAGTACGACGCGTAAACATTACTCCAATTCGATAAGAATAATATTCACCAGCGAATTCTTTTCGTTGGCTCCATCGTTTTCTATGACTCGTTTCACCAATTTCAACATGTCAACTAAAGTGTTGTTGTTGTTGTATCCACCACTGTTAGCAGGAAGAGAGTAACAAATCATTCCGATGACCAAAACAACACTTCCTCACGTGGTCAATTTAAAAGAATAACACTTAGTTTCATTTTTATAAAAGAGGAGTATTTGTTATTGGCCACATTTACCATCCAGTTAACTGGAATATACCTATTTAAAAGTACCACTGCGCCCTGAGAGTTCATTTTCATCTGCAACTGATTCTAGATGCTGGATTATAGAAGCGCAGATTTAGTATAATCGCCCGTCAGCATCATGTGGCGGAGGTTCATTACCACAAATGCATAGGTGCACGTATTAATTCACAGTACTCTGTTAAAGAACATACTTGTCACGCTTTGCATATACTGGTGAATTTATTAGTACAAACCAAGAGTGAAAAACTTATATATGTCTACATATTCTCTGCAATGCTGCAGTAAAGACGTCTATTAAGTAGAAAAACATGCACTAACACATTTGTTGCGTATTGCTGCTCGAAGTCAACCGGCTGATGCAATTTTAACTAACGCATGCGTAAAGTCCGACACACTGCTTCGTATCCTCGTATCACCGTCATTTGTTTACCATTGTAAGAGGTTGAACTTAAGATCTATTTACTTGCCCCGTGATACCGTAGAGGTGGAAAAACTCACGGACATCAAATGAAATGTTCGATTCCGCAAGTTGTTACTTTATTAACACCTGAATTGACTCCTTAAAGTACGATAGTCTCCCGAAAGCGCTCGGCCAACTAGTCGACTTTTGTACAACGAGAGTTATTTACCATTTTTTTTTTGTCAATAATACATAGTAACTACATAATATGCACAAAGGAAAGAGGTGAAAGTACGTTTACAAGTAAAGACAAATGTTGCAATAAAACAAAAAATTAATTTGCAACAAAAAAAGGCCTGCAGCTCGAGTTTCGTCTGTTTTTATTGCAGTTATACACACCTAAACTAGATAACAATTCTTTGCTAACTGTGGAAGTACGTTGATGTAAGCTTACTGTAGGATAAAATAGTATTTAAGATAGCTTTACTGTGCATGTACGGTGGTGTAGATATATTACGAGCTTACAGCTGGAAAAGACGCAGGCTTAGAATGAGACAAAATAAGTTTTTAACTAAAATTTTTTGTTAGGAAACCTTTTTTTTACATTTAAGCATGTTTTCCAATTTTGGAAGTCTAATTTTGTGCTATCAGATTCATCGATTTTTGGGTCTTGTTTTGTTAGCTCGTTCTGTGGAATGCCTCACAACGTTCGCCTTTGAAGTTTATGAGACAGGAGCTGTGAGGTTCTGCGGTATTCATTGCCTTAGACCAAGAAATATTAGAAACAAAGAAACGACGCGTTGACTTGCGTGCACTTACGAAGTACGCAGTTTTATTTAGAAACCCAATATTTCCATATTATCGGAATTATCCACGAGGCTTTCTGCTGGAGATAGTCGCACTTGTGAAATCGCTCGTTACTCGTACTGTAGAAATACACAAAAGTAGTTGTTTACCAGATGGATGTATGCTGTTTTTCATATTATATATACGCTACCTTTTTTCCGTCCTAGTTCATACCTTCTTCCTCAATACTATCCGTCTCTTGTGTTTAGTTTTATTACCTTTCGTATTGAATTCTCAAACGTATGCGATAATTTTTTTGTTTTAATCATTTAAGTTGATCCTTAGCTACATCTAATAGGGGTTCGGAAATCACCTGCATTTTTAAAGTATGTGAGGTTATGTAACAATAACAACCTCTCGAATATGATCGTGAGATGGGGTTTTGTTTTTTTTAAATTACTTGCGTGATTAACGCCCAACCTATCACGCAATTACGTATATGCAGAGCGAATTCCTGATTCCCGTGGTAGCGTAGCGGAATGATCTTTGTCTGAAAAAACAATACTTAACGGCAGTACCGAACGTAAAACTCAGAATCTAACATTTATTCCTATAGCGCTTGGTTGAATACAGCACCATTTCCTATAGGCCTATGACTTACCCGAAAGCCACTGCCAAAGTGCTATAAGAAGTAACACTCCTAATATATATTTGAAATCAGACTACAGACATTAGATCTATTGCGAGTGGGTGAAAATCCCATATTGTTTGTTGTAGAGGAAAAAATAGTTTTTGTTACCCAAGAACAGATTACCATTATTAATCTTCTTTTCGTACCGAAATGGCGTGTTACTCGTGTAATCCTTGCTACAAGATACCTTATCATGTAAGTATTACAAAAAAAATGATCTCAGTGTTTAAGGTGAAGTTAAATAACAGATAATTAAATAATTTGGCAAACCTAGATGATACAACAGGGCAATATATACATCGCTCGTCCGGCTGTACTTTCAGCTTTGGCAGGCTTGTCTACACCTATAAGATTGAAAACACAAAACTTGGATTTGTCATACTCCCAAGATTTGTTGCTCTTTTTATTTATTAATGGCAGAAGCATATCCTTGTCTCCTTTGTTGTTGCGTCATTTCAGCCCCATTCTCCACTTTCTTTCGTACAATCTATACATTCTTTTTACATTTTTATGTATATTTTTTACATTTCATATATTAGATTTTTATGGCAGTTTTTCCTTCTATTTTTTATACATTTTTATTAACATTTTCTGCTTTGTGCAATGTTTCTTTTCGTTTTTCTGTCTTCCTTCCGCTCAATGTTTGCTCAATGTCTTTCGCGTCTAGATGCCAGTGTCCAGGTAAAACCGATTCGTACCATGAGAAAAAAGAATCACAAATTTGTAGATGCACATGCATTGGATTTCAAGTGGATGGAAGATGCAAGCTTAACCAAGTAACTGAGTTCAACCCGCTAAACAATGTATGCCGCCTAAGAAACGTCGTGTTTATGAATAACTCAACACCAATTCTGCTCAAGATATTTCACTATTACATTTCTCTTGGTTGAAGATCAATCCTTCCTCCAAAGGTACTCAGGCGTTCGGGAAACGAAAACAAAGCTAAAACGACAGCGGCGACGTTTGATACTCCCACTCTTTTTTTTGTTGAAGATTCTAACCCAAGTATAGATATAGCGATTCAAAGACAGAAAGCGACAGAAGTCTTTCTTTTTCTATACAAAACGAACAAAAGCAAACGGAACAAGCGCGTGCAACTCTTCTTTTAATAGTGTACTGTGAGTACATGGCGGTAGTACATAGTACTACAGAGGAAAATGTCATACTGTAAGAAAGCTCAACGCAACGCGCACAGGGGATTCTGGCCGCTTTTGGGTAGCCAGCTCTCCCAAGTATGTTACTTAGATCTCTGAAATCAGTACATTTGGATGGGAAAGGGTAACCGCCCGAGTGTTTTTAGCGCTAATACGCCTAAAGAAATCCATACCAAACATCGTTCCGGAATAACAAAAGAAATGTGAGGCCTACATCGGGGCATTGCAACGGTCGTTGATCAATCAAAATATGATATATACTATACTTTATGTCTGTTTCATAGTAGTAACAGCAGTCACTGCATGATTATTACGGTAAAAAATAAATTACAGGTGAAGGATGATGATGCTTTACAACTTGTTTTCGTCATACTTTGCTGCTGTTGGGGTTGTTTTATTCAGAGACAAAACAGTTCCTTTCATAAAATACCATCGTAAGGAGACTTACTAAGGCATCAGTTGTCTCGCTGACTTTTCTCGTCAAGGTGAATCGATATTCATAAAATACAATAATTACGAGGATAATGCTTAAGATTAGTAGCACTAAAAAATATCTGTAATGACTCTATATCTTACCATTAAATATCGTTAAATAGCACGACCTTTCTGACTACAGATGCGGCAACGTATAGCATTGAAATACGGTTATTTTATATGCTTATTACATACCGTACTAGATGCAACTTTAAGTGTTTGTTGAGATTCATTAACTTGCTTAACGTGTATGGATCCTATGTACTTGAAAGGAACAATCTTGGCGACAACGAAAATGGCTTCGAAGTGAAGACTAATCTGCTAGCTAGAAAGTGGCTTTAACGCCTGATTCCATTTGCTGTGTCTAGCATTTGTAGAAAGAGGCCAATGATCCCATGACAAAACTCAGTTATTCTTTCTCAAATATCATATAGCAGATTTTCAATGTTTTAACGTATTTTTCAATAGTCAAATAAATAATAAAGAAAAATCATTGAAGTAATATACAGTTGTCACACATTGAAAGATTGAAAAACAACCGCACTGTTTACTTTGGTGTTCATTAATAAGCTTTGCAGTAATAATAGAGACAATAAAAACACGCGATTATACTCACATAGGCGTAACTCAAAAACTTGTCAACTTCGTCATGTCTATTCGAGTCATATGGTACGTTTGTTCGGAGATATTATGCACGGAACATGCAAAAAAACGGTATTTTAACACTTCTGGTGTTTCGATTAAGGAGAGTTAAGAGGCTAATTTTTCAAGCTGCGAGACGTTGCTCTGTACATCCGAAGTATATGATGTCGAGCACAAAGTAATAACAAGAGTACGTCTGTATTCACAGTAGAAGTCGTTTTCGCATCGTCATGCAGTAGTTGCGCACCTAAACGAAACGTCTGTCGCATAACGACTGGATTTATCTATGCCATGTTACGCGTTTCGAATCTTTCTAATTAAACGTTTACGTGTTCTCCAATCACACACTTTCTCCGAATCCCAAGATCGGGAATAACGCTTGTCGTTGTTGTTACGCGTAAAACGCTGCCGTTGATATTTATGTACGCGAAGTTGATACACTTTCGGCTCATACGACAGGAATAGCAGGTTTGTTTGCTGCCGCTTGTTGTGCCACAGTCATTCCACTGGGATGACCGGAATGATTACTATTGCTAGCGGCACTATTTTCGTAACTGTCATTGGCATAGAGCTTTTTGATGGAATCGTAGATGCAGTCTTGCTCTTCGTCATCCACCGGTTGCATCTTCCTCTTGCTTGCCTGCCTTCGCTGCGCCAAGAGCTGCGACTGAGACAGCTGCAGATGGCGGGACACCTGCTCGCGACAGCGGATTACATTTTCCGGGGAGCCGACGTCAGCTAGAGCTTGCAGTGCCACCGTGATAAGTAGCCAATGCGTGGACAGCGCTTCCATCTCAAGAGATACAAGGGCAAGAGCCACGATCGATGGCCTTTCACTAGCTAGCACCGTGTTGTTTGCTAGCAACAGCTGAAGCTTAGTCTCCCAGAGAACCTTGAGAGACGCCACCCGTCGAGGACCCTCGGGGCCTAGCACGGATTCGCAGTTATTTTCCAGCAAGGCATGGTACTGAAATATAGGAGGATGTATTAATGTAAATATAACACCGCTGTTCTGCAAATTGTAACATTGGATAAGCCGTGGTGCTTGAAAAACTAGTATTAGGAGCTAAATATTAAGTTGGTAGTTAAATAACAGCTAGGTTAATATTTTAAGGACATAAAGCGTAAAGTATCTCAAGGTTAGCTTGAATTATATAAATGGTCTTTTGTTGCATATTTATATGTCAGGCACATTCAGTAGTCGATCTGCGATTATAGAATACTTACAGCATGGAGGAAGTCGAGGGTGGTAGCACGATTGAGATCCCAATGAAGTCTGTCAAGAATGACCTTCTCCATTCGACGAACCTCCGAGACGCTGCATTCACAGCCTCCACTACGGATCAAATCCGCCAATGTAGGAACCGCCTAAAAATGATGAAAATAAACTGTATCGTAATGCTCTATATTTTTCAAGATACTTCATTTAGTGAAATTTGTCTTCATTTTGAGGTAATGAGTTCCGATGATGACACAGTATAGTGACAGTGCTCAATCAATTAGACTCAAATAGTTTTGCTTTTTATAGAGTGATTAGCAAAATGTTTTCCCAAAATGAACGTCGTCGAAATAAATCTACACAGCGAAGAGCTGTTCACCTTTCCTTGCATACAATCGCCAACGCTATTAGAAAGCTGAAGAAAACCACCCTTGTCGTTGCAAAACATCGGTATCGTAACAGAAAAAGGTGCCCTACAAAGTGGAACGACTGCGTGATTATTTGCGTAGTCCAAAAATTAAAGTTCATCTCGTATAATGTTCTCCAGAAGAAATTAAAATACCGTAAAATTCACTGGGTCGTAAATCACTCTTCATCGTTGACACAAAGACGCTGAGTTCAAAGGCAGCATACTGGCCTACCACCCGTGATAGGCAGGTATCTGCTTATTAATTTTAAGGACACGTGGTGGTTTAGGTTCGAATCCAGGCATAGGCATTTCGTTGCTACCCATCTAATGGAATGTCCACCGGCGATATGAGACATAAAACTCGAAACAGACCTGTCATCCACAGTTGAGTACTAGAATGAAACCAACAGGTTTCATCGAGCAAATCCAGTCAAAAATTGGACTGTTAGAAACCGGAAAAAAATATTGTTTCTTAGATAAATCACACTTTTAGATTCTCCGAAAAGATGACGCTCATAAAATGCCTTCGAACATGTTTCTTTTAAAATTCTTCTTTCAAAACGGCGTGGTGTCAAAAAACATTCAATGAGCTTCAGCAAGATCATGCATTTCACATAGATAATACTAATGCTGCAGTGCTTAGGTGAAATGCCTCAGGGATAGGAATAGTTTCCTGACAAGGACTACATCTTCATTCACAATGGGGCGTTTTACCACACACCCCTAGGCTACTTGTTGCCAACGATCTACAAGTGCTGCCATAATTCGGCAGACCGTAATACCATAGAGAGCATTTGGAAGTTGTAAAACCATGGGTTCGGTGAGGTTAGGAAATAATAAATATTTCAGATCTCCATGAATAAATCACATGTTTGGCAACGGGACCCACTGATAGTTAAAGGCAACTAATATTAAAAGCATGTCCCAAAAAGCGGCAGCAATTACCGCTGCAAAAAACGTTGCTTCAATATACTGATTTTCACAACTAGACCACATCGTTTATCTGCACTTTAAAGACAAGTAAAGCGCCAGTATAAGGTAGAATAAGGTCGCTTTCATAAGCCAAAACTATTTGAAGATCTCTCTTTTGCATACTGCACATTTGGCCTTGAAAGCTAAAACTATTTGTTTGAGTTTCAGCCTATTTAATTGCGCACCGACTGTAATACACAGTTTTATTGCACCTACCCACATCCGAACAAATAAATAGATGGACAGCCAGGCGCTCTTTTTATAGAGTAGCGCCATCATGGTTAATATCATGAACGCCAGCGTCATCATAGTCGCTGGCGTGAGGTATTCGACTCCAGTGGACCATGAACCTGTTTACTCTGCTTCAGAGTTAAGCACCATAGATCCTTAGTATTACAGGGAATATAGCTTCAATAATCAAAGCTTCGTTGGCTGAAAATTACCTCGACGTGTACGCAAACAGCAAGGCTAGGATTCCTCGTTCAAATGAGCCATATTTGACTCCTGATAAAATAATGTGATATGTTATGATCGCGACTTGTCAGAATCGACTGCAAACAATGGCGACCGGAGCAAAATCTGAGACTTGAAAGTGCCATCATTGTGTATAATAACTGGAGGAAGCATTCAGGCTTATAGTCTTAGGGATGTTTGATATACTAATAACTAATCATTTTTACTGCCCGTTCAATAGCTGCCAGAAATAGTTTATCTTGCAAATTTTGACGTCTTGCATTATTGCTAAGCTAATTTTTTCCCACCAGCTAAGACGATTAAGCCTGAGACCAAAGCTAACGAAAATTGTATATAAATTTTATGCGAGGAATTATCGCTCAAGGATTGTGAGCTGTTTAATTTTAGCTGGTCTAAGTACACTGTTCAATGACAATTGTATTTATTCATCGAAAATCAACCATGTTATGCTATTTTTAACGACAGGAATATTAATGACAGCGCTATATTAACAGTGCTATCTACGCATCGTAAAATATGACGAATTGCATCACCAGACGCTTACATCATCATCGAGGGTGACTTTAGCGGCCAGGAAGAAACACGAACAGGCAATCACTTGAAGAAATCGCGGCTTCGCGCGAACTACCTGCAGGAACTCGTCGAGCAGCGCTGTCGCGAGGAATAGCACTTCGCGAGGTAGACCAAAGCCTGTCGAGACGGTTGAAAACCAACGGACCGTATAATCTCGCTGTACTCCACTAATCTCTTCCGATGTCGATGATGATGTCTGAAGTTTGTTGGAGCACAAGGAGTGATAAAGCAAAATTTAATAACATTTCAGCACCGCTTACGCGTGAAATGATTGCTGCACTTTTTTTTTCTCTTTTATCGAAGGTGGGTATTACAAATGCTTGAAACCGTATTATACTATTATATATATATTATTGAGTTATGCAGACCGTCTCGTATTTATATTAAATAGATAGGTCATTTACTTACGTGAGCGGCAAACTTTCTAACCCGCCAAGTCTTTTGTTCGCGGGCAATATGACGCCGAAGTAATGCAGCTACTCGGTCTATGTTCCAGTGGCGCCGCAGTTGAACTTCAAATGCAGCTGCCAACTTCGGGTCTATTTGCAGCTGTGATTGCGCACGAGGCTGCATTATCGTGATAAATATTATATAAATAATGTTATGGAAGAGATCTGCAAGTCAAAGCAAGTCGATTTTATCATTAGTATGTAGAGCCACTAAGACAGATAATTAAAATTGTACAAATGTGCAACTTAAGTGCAAACCAAGTACCCTGGAGCTAACACGATCAGCAATGTACTGAACAGGGTAAGTTACAATTACACGAAACAAGGCACTACTCGCTCAACACTTCAGGACTTAAGAGCAGTATCCGGTCACTTTTTGTTACAAAACAAGAAATTCAGCTTATACAGTTATTGCGTTAGCCTAAGACGCCAAATATTACGTATACATTATTGCTCATATACTAAAAATTGTTCGAGTTAATAGAATCATCTGCTTGCAATGCAGTCCAGCTTAACGGTAAGTGACGTCTTACGTTCAAGCCTACTGATCAGTTTACAGCCTAAGAAATTCTACTTCCTAGCTAGGTCGGCAGAGATCTCGGATATTCAAATTAGAAGGCAAAGAAAGCCATCGGGTTGACGATTGGAAGGTCACCAACAGTAGCCACTAGAGGGAGCGAGTGTGGTCCTCTCAGCTTTGGCACTTGATCAGCTGATGGCAGTGGCTTGCCCATAGGCTTGCCAGGGGGCGCTAGCATGCTCAGTCGCCCTGGCCTGCCCTAATAAAGGTTACGTATGTCATTTTTTGCATAATGTTTTTTTCTAGCAATTTCCATCGAGTTCCGGAAATTTCAGTTCAGCGAGCTCCGTTTTGCCCATGATTCTAGTGAACAACTTAGGATACATTTCCGAAATATAGGCTGCTACACTTCTTTTCTGTTTCTCATACAGCAGTCAATAACGCAACCGACTTGCGTCAGAAGAAACCAACAATCGTTGGATCATTTGTAATTGCCTTGCGATTATTTTATACATTTGTATTTATATCGCTACACTAGCTTAGAGTAATGGTAAATAAAACAGCAGACTGAGTATATATTATGTAGTTGTATTCATATATTTACGAGCATATCCCAAACAAGCGTTAGCCAACGAAGACACAAACCGCCTAACGCCAGTTCTGCAACAGCCCAAAAGGGAACAAGCAACAAGCGACATGGGTCAAAGACTTCCTAATGAAAACTGCTGGTAGATGCTCCTTCACTCGGTGCCTCCGACTTTATTGTGAATGATTTGAGCTGTGTCGTTTGATGGCGTAGACTAGTTGCGGGTACAAGCAACAACCTGAATAGGCAATGATGGCTTCCTAGGTAAATGGCCGTTTTTACGTAGCCAACACAACAATTATACAGCATAAAAACGCGGGGAAAGAATAGAGCGTACTGTAGCACTCATTGACTATTTCGTCTCCTGAATGAAAGAATAGTGCTGCATAAGCGTTCCCTCAGCATGTTCCTCACCAACCACTACTCATAGCATTAACTCAACAAGTACTGCTGCTCCGCACATGGTCTTCAAATAGTCTTTTTCGAGGTACTTCATTGTTCGCTTCCTTTTGAGTCACCATACAATTATCATACAGGCCTTACGTAAAAAGTAAATTACCATGGCAAATTCAGTTTCTTTAGCGGGGCCGCAGCCATAACTCGGCTATCGATGATATTTACACGCACACAAGTGCACATATTCGTTTTATCGATAAATGTTATTCTCGATGTATAGTACCACACACCAAATCGAGCTAACCAAAGCTTAGTTCACTGTTACTCACCACTGCGTGAATATCAGAGGAGCGTAGCAAACTTCGATGAGATAATGAACTAGTTCCACTAGCAGTTAATGGGAACACAATACGGTACGATTTAGTAAAACATAGGGCAACAATTATGACAGTACTAATCAAAGTGTTGGGTTTAGACGTAATAGTGATGACGGTTGTTGGATGTGGTTTTAGGGTACCCTCAGGCGACTTCCACCTCTTCGTAGCGGAGAGGTTCGAAGCGTGAGAGCCCTATCCGAACGACTTACGGGAATCCTACAAGCTGCTTCTAGCGACTGCCTGTCTGCTCTATCGCCAGCCAGCAGCAGCAGCAGCGGCGGCGGCAGCAGCGGCGGCAGCGGCGGCGGCAGCAGCGGCGGCAGCGGCGGCGGCAGCAGCGGCGGCAGCAGCAGCACCAGCAGTCCCTACCCCCTCCCTTTCTATGGCTGCAGAGGTGCCCAGCAGCTGCGTGGGCTGCTGTGGTCTAATGCCACAGCAGCGATCATAGCGGCAGCAAGACGCTCTCTGCAGCTGCGGCAGACCTACACACAACCAAACAACAACAAGCACGCACAGCCAAATTTACCGCGTCAACTCTGTTCTTCCTTACGAAAGAGACGTGGCAGCGGGCCGCTGGCTTCTGTGCTAGCAACAACGCTGCAGATTTATTAGATGAAACTGTTTGCTCTATTAGATCTTCGTCTGTTGCTGGTGCATTGACGGTCAGCCAACTTCGATCCGCTCCCTCGCCATAAAAAGCAACGTACGCGCAGCTGTGGTCATCGTAGTACAATACATATGTATGATAAGGCCTACGCTGCTGCTAAACCGTTATGGCCATTGCTATGCTACAACAATGGCCGTAGCGGTAGCAGCTGCGGAAGCGGTGCGGAGCTTATGCTAGGCTGATCACAGCGCCATCAACGGGGGATACCGAAGACAAAGGCTACCGAAGCCCGACAGCGACAGACAGATCAAGTCAAAAAAACAGAAATCAGTTGGAGAGATCCGGGCGAATGGAGAGGTCAAAAACGGGAGAAATCAGGATCAAGAGCGGATGCTCGCTTAATTACCACAACTTTCTGGAAGTTTCCGGAAGATATTGAGCGACAATAATAATGATTTAATTGGACGAAAGTGATACTGCTAGTTAACCATTGGTACTCTGGTAGCAATAAATATAAGCTATTTATAGCAGAATTGCGCGTGGGTGTTATTAGTGACAGCAAATGTTAGTAAAGTATATGCACGTGCTTTCGTCGTAAATTTCTATTTTTCAACTTAAACGGCAGTTGCGGACGATGAGAGGATCATCGTTGACGGAGACGCTATGGCGATGTCGCTATGAACGAAAAGCCGTCAGCTAGCAGTAACTGCGGAAATGTGCAACAAAGATAACCATCAAACTGCACTTCGCCCTATGCTACTTCACCGAGAAGGCAGTGGAAGTAAACGAATGATATTGTCGGTTCACGACATACGTCCGTCATTTATTTACATAATCCTAAAAACCTTGAATAAAGATATATACATTAATTAGATCGCTCATGTCGCTTTCGATTGTTGGAGACAATATGCGCAGATAGTGCCTAATGGTCAACATTTTCAGAAATACAAGCTGTAACATCACCTTAGTCGCACTTATGTCTCGCCAAAAAAGATATCTCTTGCGTACTCGTAACGTAATACGTGTATGAGGACCAGAGAGCCTACAATTCGAGCTTCACCTAACCAGTACTATGCGCAGCTCTTGTGATAAACTCATTCGCATATATGGGGCAAGATAAAAATGAAAGCTGCCCCTTTATTATCCTACGCCACTGAACAGGTTTTTCCGGTGTGCATCTATTCTCCTGCCCCACATTAATCGATTAAAATACGATGTTACATATTGAACAACAATAATAATATGAAAATAAACAATTCCTATTTATTCTTATAATTAATATTATTAAATAAATATGTTCTTGTTGTTGTTGTTGGCTTGAATGTTCGACGTGATTACCATAAGCGTTTTCTGTTCGTAAACAGATATTATACAATACCTCTATTCTTGACTCTCATAGAACAAGCACAATGTTCAAAAAAAAAAATTAAGAACCACTACTTCATTGTTCATCTTATGTAATACGGCAGAATTTCGTTAGTCGTGGTTGTGTACAAAAATGGGTTTTTAGATTGTCAAGGAAAGGACGAGATGGGCCGAAATCTCTCCCAGGCAATCTGCTAGGGACCTTCAAGAGATGCCCGTAACTACGATCTCGAACTCTAGCGATAATAATCATTGAGCAATTTCGTCAACCTGAGCAATCTGGCGACCTTCGCTTAGCGAAAGAAATCTGCGTTTGTCCTTCATTGTCTGACCTCCCCTCGACCCAGGACGGAAATCGCCTTTAATTGATTCATATCTATTACAGTGATGGTTCACGCCAAGCGGCCAGTCGAATCTCATTAGCGACAGCATTGTACAGCCAATGAATGTATCTTAAGCGTAACTACCTTAAACATACTTAAATGCTCATATAACCTCTCTAAAACGTGTTCGTTAATGACTTTAGGAATTATCATAACATTTTTCAAGAATTAATTTTGACTTATATCATTCAATTAGTACACTGCTAATCTGAATTTCGTTCGACTTTAAACTACTACAATAACGTCATATATATAAGGCAAGGGTTGGGTTCTACAATCATTTTTCATTCCAGTTAGAGCCTAAATAATAAACCAGGGACTAAAAGGTTATTTTTGGCCCCTTCTATACACCTGTTAGATACCCAAACGCAAGTTTTTGTTTAGAAAGCAAATAACCTTGAGGGCATGCCATCAGAAATAGCGATAGTGATTTATCCTTGATTGTGGGCCGTGCAACAACAACAGTGACACCTCAATAAGCAACCTGAACTGAACTGAGCTGTACTAACGTTTGTGATGTTTTATTTTCACTACTTACCAACCCACTGGTAGTTAATCCGAAGTGAGAGTAACTGTTACCGTTCTGTTTTTATCAATGTCAGCAGTCAATATTGGCATATTCAAGCAGATAACTGGGTCACCTGCTACGAAAACCGACTAAACATCAACGTAGACGACACCGGCAACGACAACGGACAGGCAGCGGTGAACAACGAAGAGAGAAATTGATCCTCTAGTTTGTGTATAACATGTCAAATTTCGGCTGTCGTAACGGCAACAATGCTCATGGTCCCCACTTGTGGTCCAGGACAGCTGGCTACGCTAAAAAAAAAATCGCTATAGATGATGTCAGCAAAATAAACTGGCTGTCAATGACAGGAGTCTGGTAGGTCGCCATACAACTGACAACCTAAACCTGATGTAATTGTCAAGGAGCGATGACCATGCATCATCGCCTTCTATGGATTCGATGAGAAGAGAAGCGCCTTTGTAAATGACCTTTACATATGGAAAGCCCAAGATTCAAGTGGCTCTACTTCTCTAGCAATGCGACTAGGTCAAGGGGGCTTTAAAGACAATCACTCCAAGCGCTGATTTCTTTACTATTAACAGAATTAATCTAACGGTAGTTGGTTGATTAGCTTAGCTTTTATATATATATATATATATATATATATATATATATATATTGAACCTTTTACTTTCTCTCTTCCAGATAATTTAGAACTGTTAAAAGGCCTAGGAAATTTAAAATTGTCGAAAGTGGGTTCTACATCTGAATAAGTATAGTCAGATAGAAGTGCTTTCAATGTACGCTAGATAACTTTTATCTATTAGGATAGTTTCGTTCTCTTCGTTCCTCTTCATTCTTTCAGCAGATTAGAAGTCCTTACACTGTCTTTACTAGAAATCATACGATGGAACAACAGTAGTTTGTTATTTACAATTAATTGCCGTATAAGCTATCAGAGCTCTACATTGGCTACATATTCATTGAACAAGTGAATTTACTTACTGGCGTAGTAGGATCTAGCTAGAAGAAAATAACCGAGTTTCGTGGAATATAGCTAACCGCAGATGATTATACGGACCGACGGACGGACTGACGGCTGGCCTCATTTGTAATAATACGGCAGATCTACTAGTGTAAATAATTTTTGTTTTTCTAATCATCAAATCCATTTCCAAATTCCATGCGTCAAACGTGCAATACACACCCACAATCCCCTTAGAGTAACAAAAACAAGCGCAGCCTGTAGGAAACCTAATACCTAAGTTAACAGAGTTGAGTCTATTACAAATGTTAAAGCAAAGGGCAGAAACGTACTATGGTAAAACAGAAACCATGGTACCAGTTATCGAAGAGCACAAATAGCAAGCAATAGTTGCCAGCGCAATATGGCGTAAACTTACTCAAATTTCAAGTAAAATCTATAATTTGAAGAACCGAGTACAGAGTATAGTGTAAGTGAAATCAGCGTGAAGTTGTTCCGTATACACGGTAATATGAAACTCGATTTTGAGGCAGGGATAAAGGCAACGACACAGGGAACATATAGCAATGCGTAATAATAGAGGCTTTTACTCTTTTTTTTTTGTCGTTAGCTATTGTATACGTTAATGTGTTGTTTTCACATCGGTACATTGAAGTGCGCCAATCAAAATAACAGGAACATTCAGCA